TATACATACACACACACACACACACACACACACACACACACACACACACAAATATACAAATGTAATTTTGAAAGCCATGAGTTTATATGCTTGTATCATGCTGCAGAGAAAAAAAAAAGTAAGTCAAATTGGTCAACATCTTTAAAGTAAGCATGAGGTGTTTATACAATGTTTAGAATATTATACAATGAAAAAAATCTTCTTGGCCTCATATTTAGCAAGTTCTTAGATATAGCACCAATGCTTCTCCAAAATCAGGAAAAAAAATGTATCCATTTGAAAAATCTAAATGTACTTAAAAGGTAATCATCAATTCAGTGAGAAGACATCCCAAAGAATATGAATTATAAATCATGTTTGATAAATGGCTGTCATTAAAAAATATATAAAAAGACAAAATTCTAGTTAAAATAGGCAAAGACTCAGAAGAAATGTATATGCAAAACCTATATATGCATGTCTAAGAAGCATGAAAAGACAGATATCCAGCATCCTTAATCATCAGGAAAATATAAATACAGTGGAAATACTACTGTATACCTAATAGGATGAAAACAAGCAAAAGTGCTAACAGGATGACTAAATAACAAGTGTTGGGGCAGATGCAGAGGGATGGGATGATTGCTGATGGAAATATAAACAATGAAGATGCTTTAGAAAACAGAACCATATGACCCAGCAATTCCAATCCAAGTTATAAACACAAAATAAATAAAAAAGACTCATAGAGCTTTCTGTATATGAAAGTTTATAATAACTTTTTTCACAATGCCCATATGTCCAACAGGAAATGACTGGATAAACAACATTTAATATATCCATATAATGAAATATTCTTCAGTCAGGGAAAGAATGTGTATTACAATGCAGATAAAATTTTTAAAATTTGCTAAATGAAAGAAGCCATTCACTAAGAATTCCATATTATATGACCTCACTCATATAAAAATACAATAGGCATTTATAGAGACTAAGAGTAGATTTATGGTTGCTTGGAGTTGAGTATAAAGGATGAAATGATAGGGAGCAATAGAAGTAGGGTATATAGCTTCTTTGTGGGGAAATTAAAATTTTCTAAAATTTTTAATTATCTATAACGATGGTTGTACATATTTGTGAATAAACTAGAAACCACTGAACTACATACTTTATGTGGGTGAATTCTATGATGTGTGAATTATATCTTAATAAAGGTGCTTTGAGAAAAAGACCAAATAAAAGAAATCAAAAATGAGAGAACATTGTAATAGTCAAAATAAGAATGAAGTCTCTATTTTTCAGAGGTGGTATACTAAGGAACAATGCTGGATTCTTTCTAATACTTATGAGTACAGTGTGATTTTTCACATCAAATCTTAGTGTGTGTGCATGTTGGGAGGGGGGTTTCTTCAAGGAATTCTGCATATGAGTTGTGGAATAAACTATGTCTCTGAAGTTTTCACATAGGGATGATATTTAGCCAAATTCTATCTTCTTGCAAAGATAACCACCATATCACATTATTGTACTGAGTCATTTTTCTAAAGAGAACTTACCCTAGGATGTACTTGACACTAATGACATGCTCTTTTTTCCCCATTAAAGAAGTGGGCGACAATAATATATTCTAGTCTGTGTGCGGCTACTGTGTCTGTAATTTCTTTCTCTGCATTAGGGTAATAGTGGTTCCCTTCCTAAGAAGGGCTATTATTCATATAATTGGCAAGCAGAGACTTCCTTAGTTAAAGTCATTCATGTAAGTACTAGAGAATAGGCTGGCTTCAGTCAGAGCCTAGGGGTCTCAGTTCATACTGTTTTGTTTTTCTTGACTTTTCCCATTTTACTGAAAGTAGCTCTTTGTCTCTCATATAATATATGCTGATTATGGTTTCCTCTCCCTCTACTCCTCAGTTTCTACCCACCACCCTTTCTGTCTCTCGTTAGGAAAAAAAAACAGACTTCTAAAGGATAATAATAAAATAAATAAAACCAAAAACTAATACATTGAAATAGGACAAAATAAACAAAAGGAAAAGAGCACAAAAAAAGACATGTGAAACAGACATAGAGACAGAGACCCATGCATTTGCATGCTCAGGAATCTCATAAAAACACTAAACTGGAAGCCACAATATATATGCAAAAGACCTGGAAGGGAAAACTACATATATGTGTGTATATATATATATATATATATATATATATATATATATATGTGTGTGTGTGTGTGTGTGTGTGTGTGTGTGTGTGTGTGTGTGTGTATATATAAAATTAAAAAATAAGATAAAATTTTTAAAAAGTCCTGATATAACATTATGAGACAAGGAACTTTCCATGATTCCTATGAGTTGACTTTCTGTTGGCCCTCTACTGCTAGGCATTCAGCCTAACCCTAAGAGTAGTTTGATTTCCCAGTAGGACTCCCTTAGAGAAAACTGAATTTTTATTTACAAGTGGCTATCAATTGAAGATAGCTTCTGGATTAGGGATGGATTAACTATCAATTTGTGGATGTTGAACCACCCCTGCCTATCTGGGATGAAGTCTACTTGATCATGGTGTATGATCTTTCTCATTTGTTCCGTTTTATTTTTCAACAATCCAATAGGACTATCATCATATCCTATCACCTGTTTGCCTCAAGGACTGATCAAATTCTAACACAAACATATATTGCTTATAAAAAAATAACTTCATTTTATTTCTTTTATTTACTTTTTGGATCTAAAAATATTTATTTTATGTATGTGCATGTATGTATGAGAAAAAAAAACATTTTATGTATGTATATGTAGGTTGTTGGTTGTTTTCTTTACTCTTTTGGGGGTCCAACACCCAGCTCCCAAATAAATCACAAATGGAAGCTTATACTTAATTATAAATGCCTGAACTTAGTTTGGGTTGTTTCTAATCAGCTTTGCTTAACTTATCCCATCTATCTTTGCCTCTGGGCTTTTATCTTCCTCTATTCCTGTACGCCTTTCTTTGTTTCTTACTCTGTGGCTTGCTTTGTAGCTGGGTGGCTGGACCCTTCTTTTCTAGCTCTTCTTTTCATGCTCTTTCTTCTTTTCCTCTCAGATTTCTCCTTCTATATATTCTCTTTGCCTGCCAGTCCCACCTATCCTTTCTCCTGCCTTGCTATTGGCCATTCAGCTCTTTATTAGATAATCAGGTGTTTTAGACAGACACAGTAACACAGCTTCACAGAGTTAAACAAATGCAACATAAACAAAAGCAACACACTTTAAAATAATATTCCCCAACATATATTCTACATGTATACAGGTACCCACAGAAACCAGAAGAAGGTGTTGGATCCCCCAAAATTAGAGTTACTGATAGTTGTGAGTCAGTAGAATTGGGTACTAGGAACAAACTTCGGTCTTCTGAAAGAGCAGCAAGTACTCTTAACCACTGATATTTCTCTCCTGACCTTTAATTTTTTTTAATCTTATTGTAATTTTCACATCTACTTCAGCTAAAGCCATCATCCCTTTCCTCTCAGAGAAACTACCTTAGTTTAAGTCCTACTATTCATGGATGGTTCATGATTGACAAACAAAAGCAGCATCTTCTTTGCTTTTTCTTTTTATATCTTAAAGTAAAAATAAAATAATTTAGTTTACCTGCTAAACATTTCAAGGGTTACCATATTAGTAATTATATTAGGTCAAAGAAATAAACAAGCTGGGTTTATGTTCATTCTCAAGGGCAGTGTGCATATAGTTACTAAATTAACTTAACAGTAAAACTGACTTTTTGCTATATAGTTTTATGAATTTGAATATATGTACAGGTTAACATAAACAGAGTCCACAATCAGTATACAGAACAATTCCATCACACTTAAGGAGTACCTCATGCTGTCCCTTCACAGTCATATTTTGCATCTACTCCTAATCTTGGAGAAATCCTTTCTGTAGTTCTAGCATAATGTACTAGTTAGGGTTCTCCAGAGTAACAGAACTTACATAATAAATCTCTCTCTCTCTCTCTCTCTCTCTCTCTCTCTCTCTCTCTCTCTCTCTCTCTCTCTCTCTCTCTCTCTCTCTCTCTCTCACACACACACACACACACACACACACACACACATTCACACACACACACACACACACACACATATATATATACATATACATATATATATATATATATATATATATATATATATATATATATATATATATATATATATGGGTTATTAGAATGAATTACAGGCTGTTAGCCAACTATTCCAACAATTGTGGTCTACCAACAGAAGGTCCAAGAATCAGTAGTTGTTCAGTCCGCAGGGCTGGATTTCTCAGCTGGTCTTCAGTATATGCTGGAGTCCTGAAGAAGTAGACTTTATTGCCAGTGAAGGAATGGATTTGCTAATGAGGCAAGAGCAAGCAGACAAAGAGGAAAAGTGTCCTTCTTTCCTGTGCTTATATAGGCTTACCACAGAGGGTATGGTCCAGATAAGAGGGTTTTTTTCTACCTCAAAGATCCAGATTAGAAGTATATCTTCTCACTGCAAATTAAGCAAAATCACTCATAGGTGTGCCCTCCATTTTGGGCTTTTAGTTAATTTCAGATGTAGTCAAGTTGACAACCAAGAATAGCCATCACACAAAGATTTTCATATAAATGAAATCAGAACACATGCAATCATTTAACCATTTTTTTTTTTTTTTTGGTTTTTCGAGACAGGGTTTCTCTGTGTAGCTTTGCGCCTCTCCTGGGACTCACTTGGTAGCCCAGGCTGGCCTCGAACTCACAGAGATCCGCCTGGCTCTGCCTCCCGAGTGCTGGGATTAAAGGCGTGTGCCACCACCGCCCGGCCTTAACCATGTTTTTTATTCAGCATACTACCCTTGTAATTCCTCTGAACTCCTGTATGTCAAAAAATCATTTTACCCTTGATGATGAGTGGTATCCCTTCATGTGGACATACTATAATATATTCTACCCTGGCATCTGATGACAGAAATTATTGCTTTAATGTAAGGTCATAAGAAATATCCTGCTGAGGATCAGGGTCTGGTGAAGGGGCTGTCTGTAGGCACCATGTCGGGCCGCGAAGGTGGCATAAAGAAGCCCCTGAAACAGCCCAAGAAGCAGACCAAGGAGATGGACGAGGAAGATAAGGCTTTCAAGCAGAAAGAAAGAGGGGAGCAGAAGGAACTCGGGGGGGGGGGGGGGCTAAAAGCCAAGGCCGAGGGCAAGGGACCCCTGGCCACATGTGGAATTAAGAAATCTGGCCGGGCGGTGGTGGCGCACGCCTTTAATCCCAGCACTCGGGAGGCAGAGCCAGGTGGATCTCTGAGTTCGAGGCCAGCCTGGTCTCCAAAGCGAGTACCAGGAAAGGCGCAAAGCTACACAGAGAAACCCTGTCTCGAAAAACCAAAAAAAAAAAAAAAAAAAAAGAAATCTGGCAAAAAGTAAGCTGTTCCTCATATTTGAGATGATGATGACCCTCTTCCATTCCTATTTAAACATCTGGATTCCCTGCCATAACATCTTTGCCACCTACAGTTAGAATGAAGTGTTATCCTGGAGTCTGTTAAACATCTGGATTCCCTACTATAACATCTTTGCCACCTATAGTCAGAATGAAGTGTTATCTTGGAGCCTGTTGTACACTGTAATAAACTTTTATAAAAAAATTATAATAATAAATAATACAATGGCTCATTGTCTCTAGTGTTCAGCAATTCCTACCTCAGCTGTGAATTTAAAGTAAACCCAGTCCGAAATCCTACCAGAGCTGTTTCATCTTTGTTGTACTCCAAATTCTGTATCACTTTGAATTAATTAAACCAACTCAAAAAAGCTATCATTCTTGAAAAAAAAGAAATATCCTGCTAAGCACATTTGAATACAGGTTTGTGTTCAACATGTTTCCATTTCTCTTGAATAAATACTCAGATGTACAATGTGTCATTTGTGTGAGGGTAGTATGTTCATTTTTATAAGAGAGAGCCAAACTGTTCTCCCAGAGGACCTGGACTTCCACTGACAATGCATGTGTACTCAGAAGCACTGGGATACATTATTTTATTTACTAATGTTAGTTCTGATTTCATAATGAGAAACTTAACTCTGAAGACTTGAAAGGGAGTGGGTAAAATAAGGAGGCCAAAGAGCTGCGGCCAGAGCACAGATGTGGATTAGAGGCCCACCCGATCAAAGATGACATCATTTTATTCTAACTAAGCAAGAAACCTACTTATTCCCCCCAAAACATCATATTTGTAAGACTCTTACTACTGCAATGTAAGAATGGAAATGTTTATTTATAATCTATTTATAATGTGAAATTAAATTGGTTATTGCTCGTCAGTACTTGTTTCATATCTCTGCAATTTCACTATTCTTTATTGTTTCAAGCATCACATTTTTTTCTAAAGTTTCCTTTTCATAGCGCCTGTATTTAGCAGTGTTTTAGACAAGTATATATTCAGTATCCATTTAAATTTATGTTTATTGTGCTCACACTCTTCATTTTCCTGCCTTGGACCCTTGAAAATGTTTTTCCTTTACCTTTTGTCCTCACGTTTCTTTTCTATAAAATCTAGTTGGTCTCTTTGTTATTCTGTATAGCTGATCTACTTTTCCATTGTTTTTTAAGTTTTACAAATAAATGGTGTTTTTACAATATTTGTACATTTTCCTATAATGTGCTTTGCTCATCTTCACCCCCTCTATTACCCTTTACTATTCACCTCCCACTCTTCCACAACCTCTTCAACATCCCTAACAGGCTCCTTTTTGTGATAGTTATTGTCTTCTTGGTGAATTTTAAGGTTTTATATTGGGCTCTTCCAGTTTCATTTGGAGATGTTTACAGGCGGATTTCTTGTTTACTTACTGAGCTGGATGCTCACTGAACTCCTTCAATTTGCATCTTATATTAGATTGGAAAATACAGGGCACCACTTTTTCCATACTGTTTCCCTCTGTGCCCTCTAGTTACTCCTTTCTCAACCCTCTTAGACGGGTGCCGAACTTTCTCATTCTTTTCTTCCTTAATCCCTCTATCTGTGGTACATTGGGTGGTTGTATAGTCCATACACCATTTACCCATTCTTTTCTACCCCTGTATTATCCAATAGTTAACATTAAATGATAAGTTTCATTTATAAATGGTCTTACTTTTGTCCTTAAGAAATCAACCAGTCTTTTTTCTGTGTCCTTCATTTGATTATTTGGGGGTTTTCAATTTTTAAATCACTATTACAAATGTTTATTTTAAATTCTCTATCCCTAACCTACTTTTCTAGCTCTTGAGGATATAATTCTGTTGTGTGTTTTTTCTTCTTATTTTATCATAGAAGACTATTTCATCATGTGTTTATAGTAACATTCCACTGTGAAATTGTCTTAGAAAGGACTTTTTCCTGTATTGATAACTTGTACCTGTATTGTATGTTTTTTTTCAGAGGTGTTTTGACTTTGCTTTTGCCAAGAATCCCAAAGGGGATACCAGTTCAGAATGAATGTTTATGGATCTACCTATTTTTAAGGTCAATACAAAATTAACCTCCAAACAGAAATTAATTATAAGCCTATGGATTGGAATTTGGAGAGGGGGTTCCTTTACACATCTCAAGTGAAAAGCCAAGTTTCCTGCCAATGGGAAAGATTTATTTTCCTTCTTTTTTTTTTTTTTTTTTTTTTTGGTTTTTCAAGACAGGGTTTCTCTGTATTGCTTTGCACCTTTCCTGGAACACACTTTGGAGACCAGGCTGACCTCAAACTCACAGAGATCCACCTGGCTCTGCCTCCCGAGTGCTGGGATTAAAGGAGTGCATCACCACCGCCCGGCTTTATTTTCCTTTATTTATCCTTTCAAATAAAGGCTATAAATCCAAAGTTTCATCTTTCATTAGAGATCTATAATTTCAAACTATACTTCACAAAGACCTGAAACTTCATAATTGCTACAAAGTCATTAAAACTAAAATTCTTAATTTGCACACTCTAACAATACTATACCCACCCCTGGCGGCAGTAGTCTCCTCTGTGTGTCATTCTCATTAGAAAATTGGAGGCTCTTCCTTCATTGTGAGTTGTTGCATTTTTCTTCATTATGAGTTATTGCATTCTATCAGCATTTCTAAGAGTAACTACGTAAAAATTTCATATGTATGCTTATATCCATGTACAAAAATTTAAAAACTGACAATATTTTTCTTATCATCTATACTTCTGGAAGTTAATTATATTTAATTTTCTTCCTCTACAATTTATAATTATATTCCATACTCTCTTTTACTGCATGCTTCACATAAAGACTCAGACCTGTAGCATTGATTAATGCACATTTAAATATCCAAAGTAAAGACCTACATGAGGTAGGTCTTAAGGTAGGTAATATAAATTTGGTTTTTGAAAGCATACACTCAACTAGTAGCCATTTCTTAAAGGTAAAAATGAGACCTATATATTCTGTTTTATTCTTTTATAGGATTTAATGCTATTCCATTCAGTCTTTATCTAGAGTGCAAAGTCCCAAGATTTTAGTCCAACTTAGATCTCAGTGAATTATATCTGAAACTTTTGGATGCCTTTATATCACTATTAATAAAACCTAGAAATGTGGATTTGTTTCTAATTCTGCATTTTGTGACAGTTGTGTCTCAGATAATTTTTTTCTGGACATTCTTCATTTCTGGTATATTTTTGAGATGTGGAAACTAAAAAAGTACAGTATTATTGGATATGGAAATAAAATAAATGTAAGAAATTGTTCAAGGGTCTGGAGAGACGGCTTAGAAGTTAGCAGGACCTGGGTTTATATCTCAGCACCCACATGGCAGCTCACAATCATCTGTAATCCCAGTTACATGAGATCTAACACACTTTTCTGGACTCCACAGGCACTGTACACATGTGTTACACCTACAAACAGGCAAAACACTTATAAATATCAAAATATTTTTAAGTATTCATTTTAATTAAAAGAATGTTCAAATATTTATCTTTTGGGATATCCTGCCAGTTAACCTTCTATGCTTATTCCCTGACAAGAAGCATCTTCTCCATGGCTCTTGTACACATTATTTATGCTCAGTTTGGCTATCTGCAAAAATCACATTGAAGCAATCAATTACCTTTTGACTATTATCCCCTCCAGCAAGAAACCTGGTCTCTGAGTCAACTCAGAAACTCCATGCAGTGTCTAAATGTATTTCAGAAAAATATCTGTAACATGGAACCCATATTTGAAAATTCCTGGATTGGAGTTTTTGCTAATACTGAAAGCCTCCTAAGGCACCCTCATGTGTGTGTGTGTGTGTGTGTGTGTGTGTGTGTGTGTGTGTGTGTGTGTGAACTCGCACATGTGGTGCATACATGTTGCAAGTTGTAATATAATGGTGACAAGCACAAAGTGTTCAGTGTAAAAGAAAATAAAATTATGTTAACATCCATTCTTATGTGTGCCCCATAGAGTGCACTCATGCAGTTACATGTGTTAAATAGCAAAAATGACATTCATTCTTTCAGTTTGATAGATGGATCTGACAACATTCTTAACTTCACCAATTCACACTGATTGGTGTAGGCCACTTAGAAAAATTACATTATTTCTCCACACTAATTGATTTAATGGTAGATGAAACAGAAAACAGTACTAAAAGGGAACCATTATCTCTCTGATGAGTATGAAATCAAATAACCTCAATTCATAGCTGGCAACTACTATGTGACTATAAGAATGACTAGTCAGAGAAAAAAGCTAATGTTAGCAAGAGGCATAGATAATAAAATCAAAGAAAAACATAACTTGGCACAGGTGAAAAATGCATGAAGGCTATTTAACTTTTTATTACATGAGCCAACACATTTATAATATGTAACCTAGTCTAAATCTTTAGTCAAAAGCATGTTGACAAGTTCATGTATAACTTGATAGAAAACATAAATCACCTTTAAAAAATTGTTAAACAGTATTCAGACTGGGAGCATAGCACAGTGATCAAGCACTTACCTACTATCCTAGTTAGGATTACTATTGCTCAGAGGGAACATCATGACCAAAAAAGCAAGCTGGAGAGGAAAAGGTTTATTTGGCTCACACTTCCATATCACTGTTCATCACAGAGGGAAGTCAGAACAGGAACACAGGGCAGGAACCTGGAGGCAGGACCTGATGCAGAAGCCATGGAGGGGTGCTGCTTAGTGGCTTGCTCCTCATGTCTGGCTCATCCTGCTTTCTGACAGAACACAGAACCACCTGCCCAGGGCTGTCCTGTAGACAAATTGCTATACAGTCTTATTAAATAAAAAACCTGGGGGGCTAAAGCAAGAGAGAGATCAGACAAATAGGAACAGCCACAGCTAACCTCACCTCACCACTGTCCCCTTCCCTATCAATCACTAATTAAGAAAATGCCCTACAACTTGTGGTGATATTTTATTTGTGCTTTAATAAACAAAGCTTGCCTGGAGATCAGAGGAAAAAGCCTGCCATTATAAGTAAACACAAAAGTCATGAAATTTTAGCCCACACCTTTAATCATATCACTTGGGAGGCAGGGATCTATCTGATCTATGTGAGTTCAAGGCCACACTGAGAACAGAGCCAGGCATGGTGGCACACACCTTAAATTCCAACACTAGTTAACCATGGAGGTCTGTACAGACAGACAGGAAGTGACAGAGCTGGGCAGGAAGAGGAAGTGAGGTAGCTGGACAGAGAGAGCAAATCAGATGGCAGAACAGCAAGGCATATAGGCGTGGGTAGACAGGAAATATCACGCTTTTGTAAGCTGCAGAGTTGGTGAGGTAAGGTTAGCTGTGGCTGTTCCTATTCCTCTGATCTTGCTCAGGTTTTCACCCCTGTATCTGGCTCTGTTTTTTTTTTTTATTTAATAAGACCATTTAAAAATTCATCTACAGCTTGACCTTATGGATACATTTTCTCAATTGAGGCTTCCTCCTCTCTGATGACTGTAGTTTGTATCAAGCCAGGACTCTAAGTTAGCACAAGTTCTCACATTCCAAGTTCAGCACCACAAGAAAAAATAAATAATTAAAACACATGGACATTTCAGAGTCATTTTTTATTAAATATCTATTCTTAATGGTTACATAAAATATGAGAAGTTGTGAGTAGTGGTACATGTCTATAATCCTAGAACTGAGGAAGCTAAGAGAGGAGAATCGGGAGTTCAAAGACATCCTTGGCTATATATGAAAACAAAACATAAAAATTACACATAATAATTAGATGAAGTGGTAATTTAATGCCTTAACTTTGTTTCTGGTGAACTATCTTGGACAGTCACATGTCTTTGACCCAGCTTAACTTTTCATTAAAAACAAAGTTGTCTTTGACCTTCCTTATTTACAAAGGAGTCATATTCTTTTAAGTAGGAGGGAACAATAACTCACTGATTGACATTTGTAAATACAGTTTTATGGACATACCAGTGGTCATTCACCCACATACTATCAATGGTTGCTCTCACATAGTAACAACAGAATGAATTAGTTGTAACAGAGTCTATGTGGCCCCCAAACAGACATTTACTATCTGGTCTTTCACAAAATGTATTTGGTGATTCTTGGTAGTACATAATTTTTCAAAGAATCAAGGCTACTCAGTCTGTGTTCACTGATTATATGAATAAGCATACTACCCTCCTAACCTCCAGCTTACTTAGTTCAATTCAGTTTTAAAAATGCATAAACAGTTCAACCTTCCTCTTTTGTATAAACCCTTTTTTTTCAAACTATGAAATGAGTCAACATTCTGTCAGGCAAATCTGTTTACTATATATTGGATACATTTCTAGGATTCATCTGAAATCTGAATGAGCATAGCCTAGCTTAACTAACACACAGCTCCACTGAAATAATGTGCTGCACATAAGATAGTATACTAAAGAGCAGAACTTTCTTTTTAATCTGAATTATATCAAACCTTAACTTGCAATGGTTCAATGCTCTTAAATATGTAAATAAGAGTTCCCCAAATTTCAGGAATGATCCATTTCCACTACTAAGGGGGTAAGGTGGAAAGGATTATACTTTAAACCATTTCAAGTAATGTTCTTTTAGCCCATATCCTTAGTGTGTGCTTGATAAGTAAGCAGATCGCCAATTGCTAAGATTGCTTTACAGTTCCCTGGTTGCCCATAAGGAGCAAGTAAAGAAGTGTCAACAGTGCTGGGTAATGGAATCACTAATATGGAATTACCATGGACAGTCATTCAATCATTCTAAATTAAAATTATGTTCCCCACAACATTATTTCTGAAAATAAATACCACACAAAATACCTCCTCTTTCATATCTTCCTTTCCTTGTCTATTCCTATTGGAAAATGCAAACAGCAGTGAAAGGAGATCTATAAAAATGCCTGTGGATCAAGTGTTTCTACAAAACTGAAATGGGAATGAACTTTACAGTTTGAAGTTGATACCAACTATATGATAGTGGGATATTATTCCTCTGAGTGATATAACAAGATGCTGGTATTTTAACTGGA